ACCCCTTTCTGAAAGTGGCCTTCATTTAGACGCCAAAAGACAGGAGATACTATTTCTTTATTTTTATTATTCATTTATTTATTTTTATTTACTTATTTGAGACAGAGTCTTACTCTATCACCCAGACTGGAGTGCAGGGGCATGATCTCAGCTCACTGCAGCCTCTGCCTCCCAGGTTCCAGCGATTTTCCTGCCTCAGCCTCCCGGGTAGCTGGGATTACAGGTACGTTCTGCCATGTCCTGCTGACTTTTATATTTTTAGTAGAGACAGAGTTTCACTATGTTGGCCAGGCTGGTCTCGAACTCCTGATCTCAGGTAATCTGCCCACCTTAGCTTCCCAAAATGCTAGGATACAGGTGTGAGCCACAGCGCCCAGCTGGGAGATACTATTTCTAAAGCTTATACTTTTCTTATTCCTCTCTCTATCTGTAGATCTAGATGTAGAAACAGATTGGTAGAGAGATAGAGAGGTGAACATACATAGATGAGAGATGAATAAATAATAGCTGTATTAATTAGATAGGAAGATAGATGGATAGAGGATAGATAAAGACAGATGATAGGCCGGGCGTGGTGGCTCACGCCTGTAATCTCAACACTTTGGCAGGCTGAGGCAGGCGGATCACAAGGTCAGGAGTTTGAGACCAGCCTGACCAACATGGTGAAACCCCATCTCTACTAAAAATACAAAAATTAGCCAGGCATGGTGGCGTGTCTGTAATCCCAGCTACTCAGGAGGCTGAGGCAGGAGAATTGCTTGAACCCGGGAGGCGGAGGTTGCAGTGAGCTGAGATCGCACCATTGCACTCCAGCCTGGGCAACAGAGTGAGACTCCAACTCTCTCTCTCTCTCTATATATATATGTATGTATTCCATAGATAGACAACAGATAGAAGATAGATCATAGGTTGATGATAAATGAATGATAGGCAGATATAGATGATTGGTAGATGATTGATAGGTAACATAAAGATCCACTTACAATTAACAGAATACTTTTGCAAATTTGTGAATAAGGACTGTTTTCTTACAAGTTCATAATAGATCTAAGATATTTTCTCTTTAAAATAGTAAGTGTCGCAGCACGAAGTTAACATTAAAACTTAACAATGAACGTCCTTGTGGGGAAGCATACGGACACAGAAGTGAAACGCAGACAGGGTCCAGGCAGACGGGCTTTCGGAAAACCCTCCGCTCCTCAGCTCCTGGCACCCGCAGCCTCAAGTACCGAGTCCCCAGGAATTTCAAACAGGAAGACCCGGTGAGCTGTCCGTCAGCAGCGCGGGGAACACACAGTGACGGTGGAGCCTGGAGGGCCCTGCTGGTCTGTGGAAGTGGTGGGGGGTGAAGCCAGCCCAGGAGGCAGGTCCGGGCTGCCGAGAACCATGGGCGGCTGGAGCAGGCCGGCTTGGGCTGTGTCCGGGGCTGAGGTGGTCACAGCGGTCCCTCGATGACCTTGTCCTCCATCTAGACATAGGGAACGTGTATGGTGCTGTATTCTGTGGAAATCTCCAGGCAAGAATCCTAACTTTGGGTTTAGTAAAGGATGAAACAATGTCACATGTTCCCTCCCATGGACTGAGTAATATGAAAGATTCGCCTGTAGCAAAGGCGGACGTTCCCACATATGTGAGATGCTTCCAGCGCCTGGCTGTTCGTTTCCCGGCTCGCTGCTGCTTGCAGTGCGCTTGGCAGTCAGGGGAGTGCGAAGGTCTCAGCGTTCCTGGGCCACAGACGGTAGAACCACGGGGGTGGAAACCACTGGCTTCAACTCCAGGAAGCCTCAGACGCGGGACAGCACCCTCACCTGGCTCTCCCAGGCTCCGCACTTCCTCTGCCGGCTCCTCTGGATTTTTCAGATTGTGGGTAGCTCAGGACCTAGCAAAGGGGTGAAAAATATGTAGTCTGCAACACTGCTTCTTAAATGTAGAAGAAGGCAAAGGGTAAAAAATATGCAGTCTGCAACACTGCTTCTTAAGTAGCAGCCCATGAAAATCCTCTGGGGGCCTTGCCAAATGCATGCTTGGATTCAGCAAGTTTGGGTGGGGCTTGAGAATCTGTATTTCCAGCTCACCTGCCCCTAGGTGATGCTTCTGCTGCTGCTGCTGCTGCTGCTGCTGCATGCTCTGCCTTGGGTAGCAAGAGTCTAGGGGTGAGGTGTGGAGGGAGGGAGACAGAGTGAGAAAGAGGAAGGGGGAGAGAGGAAGACAGAGGGATGGCCATGGAATCAGCATGCTGCAGTTTACCTGTATGAATTGATCAACCCTTAAAGTTCTTTTCTCTCAGAGAGAAATAATTTTTTAAAATCTGATCATGCATTGTGAGTCAATACAATATATCCTATTTAAAAATGTTTAACATATAATTATGATTGTCCTCAAAGAATGAAATGTTACCTGTTCTATGCCTCAACATAAAGACCAAAGATTAGTTTGAACTCTACTTAATGATCCTACAGCTTAATGGGAATGACTTAATTATGGAATTTAACATCTTTCCTTAGGAAAAGAGGATTCAAAGAAGAAGTGTACCTAGGGGTGGGGATAAGCAAACATGGAGATTGTGATTTTCTAAGACCTTGCTGTGGCCACTCTTCTGCACGCTCGCCCTTGATCAGAGTCACACATAGAGTGTAATTTTACACATTCTGAATGCTGCTTATAAGTATTTTACAAATCTCATGGTGAATATAAATTTCTCAGAATTAGGCTAAATAAAAAAAACTCAAGTAGATTAATTCTTATCCCAATGGTGTCCTTTTAAATGTGTGGCGAAGTCATGGTATACTCCACCCTGAAGCTTCTGAAGGCATTTGTATTGATCAGCCCACTGAAGAGACTGAAGGGGTCAGAGATAATTGAGAAAGAATAAAACTGTCTCAGTAGGAGGATATTTGGAGTCTTTCAGGGAGGAAGACATTTGGAATCTTCTGAATAGGAGGACATTTGGAGTCTTCTGGGTAAGAGGACATTTGGAGTCTTTTGTGTAGGAGGACATTTGAAGTCTTCTGGGTAAGAGGATGTTTGGAATAGCTTCTCTCCCTGTGCCTGTCTCCTGCAGATAATCCTGATATTTAATATTGAGCGCTCAGCAGAGCTCTCTTCTTAATATTTCCATATTGCTAACCACTTCAAGAATCGGATGCAATATGGTATTCTTAAATATAAAATACACTTAATGTTACCTGTCATTACTTGCCTTAAATTGTCATCATAGCCATCACAGAAACATACTTAGATGCATTTTATGAAGAAAAGTGTCTCACAGTTTTCAGAAAACGTAGGGGTGGCCACTTCTTGAAACGTGAACTAAAATGAAGAAATTCCAGTGAAACTCACCTTTGGTTTTGCTTTGCAGTGGATTCTGAGGCAGGTGGTGGCCTCTGAGCTTGTGTGCGTGTATAGCCTTCGGCATCGAGTCCAGGGCAGGGTTTTGTTCTGATGGCAGTCGACGCTCAAGATGTAGCTTTACCACAGTTGGTGGCAGCCAACAGGATCAGAGTGTCCATCGGTTGTATTTTCTTAATCAGGGTAGGAGGATTCATCAATACGCTCTGGAACTACACAGGACTCCCCCAAGTTAGTTCACACCACACCTTGTCCTTTATTCTTCAGCCTCAGAGCTCCTGCTTCCATGCACTGCTCCTTTATCTTGTCTAAGTTAGTAAGAAAAACAATACATGTTTCTGCTTCGATTTTGAGGTTATTTGTTGCAAAACAACTTTTGAAAGAATTTTGCGGGCCGGGTGTGGTGGCTCACGCCTGTAATCCCAGCACTTTGGGAGACCAAGACTGGTGGATTACTTGAGGTCAGGAGTTCAAGACCAGCCTGGCCAACATAGTGAAACCCTGTCTCTACTAAAAATACAAAAAATTAGCAGGGTGTGGTGGTAGGTGCCTGTAATCCCAGCTACTCGGGAGGCTGAGGCAGGAAATCGCTGGAACCCAGGAGGCGGAGGTTGCAGTGAGCTGAGCTTGCACCACTGCACTCCAGCCTGGGTGACACAGCAAGACTCTGTCTCAAAAAAAAAAAAAATTGCTTTTTTATATAACGTGTCTGAATAATTCTAATTGCAGGGGAAAGACGAACTCCAACCTCAGCTACCACTTCTTCAAACAAAGAGTGATCTTGCCTGGTCCAACCTTCAGCGTCCATTGAGTTGCCTCTCATCTTGACTAAAAGGAGAGACACTTTTTAAATAGCATTAAACTAGATGGCGCCTGCAGGTGTAGACCAGAGTGATGAACTGACCACAGATGTTCTCATCATGAATAGCTCCCTCTGCTCTCATTGTTCTCAGGTATCCTTGTCTTAATTTTTTTTTTCTAAAGTGACTTTTTTTTTTTTAAGAGATAAACTTTTTTCCCCCCTTTTCTCCTCTTGGCAAAACTTCTTCAAAAGTTGATGCCCTGAGACTGTGACCTATCCCCTGCCATTTATCTCGGAGGTATCTGGGTTTATTTCATGGTTCTTGGCCCCTTCTCTGACCGCATGGTTCTTGAAGGTGTCTTCTGGGAACTTCAATTTTGATTTAAATCCTAACTTCTTTACTTTGTGGAAAAGACGTTAAGCCTCAGTTTAGCCTGCTGTAGGACTAGGGGAATAATGTGACCTCATTCACGAGCTCTTGCGAGGATTTACCAGGCAAAGAGCCTCCGAAATGCAACAGAGCACTTGCTTTAGGACTAGGGGAGAAATGTGACCCCACTCACAAGGTATGACGAGGATTTACCAGGTAAAGCGCCTCCAGAAGGCAGCAGAGGGCTTGCTGTAGGTGTGGGGGAGTAATATGATCTAACTCATGGGGTATTGGGAGGATTTACCTGGTAAAGCACCTCTGGAATGCAGCTAAGTGCTTTCTCTATGAGTGGAGAAGTACTGTGACCTCATTCATAAGGTATTGCAAAAATTTACCAGGCAAAGCACCTCCAGAAGGCAGCAGAGGGCTTGCTGTAAGACTGGGGGAGTAACGTGACCTCGCTCACGCTCACGGGGTATGTTGAAGATTTACCAGATAAAGCACCTCCAGCACGCAGCAGAGAGCCTGGTGGATGCACTCGATGCATGCTGGCTGTTTTTCATTATGAATCAACGCCGTCAGAGGCAGAACACCTACAATGATTAAAAAACTTGTGGGTCTTCATCCCTGAACATCACAACCGAACCAGACAGGGTTAAAGCATCAGCAGCAGGTGTTCTGGGCCAGGCCTCCCCCAGCCTTGAAGTCAGGAATGCTCTCAGCAGGATTGCTTCGCCATGTGGATGGTAACAGCGGAGCACTTTCCACAAACGGTTAACGGGGTTGGGATGCCTGGGTGGTGTGTCTTGCTGCCCTGAGACAGCCTGTGTTTCATTGAATTTCATGTTGATTGGGAGCCTGCAACTGCCAGTTCCTTTGTATTAAAGGACATATCCTAAATTCTAGAAGGGGGTTTGCCAATTTGCAGAGATATGGCTTCAGTTTTCTTTCTCTGCTGTAAGCTGCAAATGAGCTTGAACTTTTGCAGGGCACATGGCTTCACAATGGCATTCTGAATCTCGTGTGCCTACTTTTGCTTATTAATTGAGCAGACAACTTGAAAGGGATCCATCAAAACCTAGATTTTGAGATGACACAAATACAAACTTTGGTAAATTTATCACCCTTGTTAATTAAGTCATCCTTCTTTTGCAGAGAAAGATCTGTGTGTCCGATGTAAAGTGCAAATGCTATGTAGCTGGGACTTTTCCAGTGGTAACAACTCTTCTATGTACAAAGCTCCAAGAGGTGGGTCATGTCAAATTTTATGATGATAGTAAAATCTAGGAATATATATATATGTTTTGTTGTAATTTCTTTTCTTCAGCCTTTTCCAGTGTGAGACAATTCCTCAATGCAAGTATAGCAGATGTCCATTCCGGCAACATATGTGAGTGTGTGTGAGTGTGGCCTGTGTTTTCACATAGCCGTGTGTATGAGCGTGCATAGGAGCATGTGTCTGTATGTGTCCATGGCAATCTCAGATTCCCTGACATCGCACTGATAATTGCATTAAACCAATTTTCTTAAAAACCATGTTTGAAGGTAAGGAAATATGTTTTGGAAATCTCCCTTGGTATGAACCATTTGGAGTCCCATCCACACACTTCTGCAAGCTGCTGACACAGGCTGGAATTGCAGTGGGTCTGGGTTGTGATGGAGCTGCCGGCTGTCATTTGATGCGTGAGGCTCGTCTTCCAGGCAGTTTTCCTAAACTTGGAGACCTTTCATATATTCTGTTATGGGTGGGGGCAGGGTGCTCTCTATTTGGTCCGACCTTTCCCATATACCAGGTATCAAGGGCTGAAGCATTCAGGATGCAGCAGCCCCTGGATCCATCAGAAGATCTGAGATTCTCTCCCTAAGCAACCACTCAGTAAGGTGGCAGGACCTTTCCTGGCTTCAGTTTCTTCACTCCTAAAACGAACATGGCACTGCATCCGTGGTTCTCGGATGACAGTGGGGGGACAGATGTCTTAGTATTTCCCTGGAAAGTGGAGGATGATCCTTTAAGGAACCCACTGGATGGTGGCCTCTCGTTGTTGTCTGTTGCTCTTGGTCTCTGTGTTGAAATTATTTTGGAGCTTTGAGTAGCGTGAGCGAGGGATACTGCCCATGTCTCTAACGAGGGCATGGGGTTTGTCCGTTTCTCTAATGAGGGCATGGGATTTGTCCGTTTCTCTAATGAGGGCGTGGGGTTTGTCTGTTTCTCTAACGAGGGCATGGGATTTGTCCGTTTCTCTAATGAGGGCATGGGATTTGTCCGTTTCTCTAATGAGGGCATGGGATTTGTCCGTTTCTCTAATGAGGGCATGGGGTTTGTGGCATGGAGGGGCTTCTCTGCTTCTGAGGTCCTGCATCGCTCAGGCAGGCCCTGGCTTGAATGGAGAGGCTGGCGTGAAGTGAGAAGGCCCCAGTGGAACCCTTCTTAGAAACACCATCAGTCCTGGGTCCTTCCAATGAGGAGGCTTACATCTCTAAAAATTCAGATTTGCCGAAAAATTCATGATTCGTCTTCCTTAATTAATTTAAAAATGGAAAACTTTCTCCCTACCTACCATCGCGCTGTGCCTCGTTTGCGGTTAATGCCATGGGGTGACGTAGGTTTTCCAATTCTCCTAATCTGTAAGGCGGCGTTTGCGGAAGCTCCATCTCCCTCCTTTGTCGTTAAAGGCACTCCATAAAGCAGCTTGCATGCATGTTTAGACAGTTCATTGTCAATAACTTTAACCTCCTACAAAAGCCAAATACATCGGTAATGTGGCTGTACCTACCTATTCTGAAAGAAACCCGAGACTTAATTTCTAATCTGCAGAGGAAAATCTTTCCGGCCGTCCTCATTTGGCGCGCTTGTGGGTCTCTGTACGTGTGAAAACAACGAGAAAATGAGAAAATGGCAGTGGAGACATTTGTCATCTGCAGAGTAAAAATATGTTGTTTTTTGTCAGGAAAGTTCTGGTGATGTCTGCGGGGGTGGAGAGAGAATACATCAGTAGTGGCAGCAGGCCTTTGGGGTGGTGCAGAGGGAGATTGCCGTGACCTCAGACATCTGTGCTTCCATGCCACTGGGCACGTGGCTGTGAAATGCATCCTCAACTGGCCTTTTGCTGTTTTTCTCCCAAATTTCATACCATGAGTCTTCATCTCAGGCTCCTCTTGGTTGATTTGAAGTCCCTAGTCCTTCTCCAGTTTTATTTCATTACGAGACAACATTGGTCTCTGGATCTGCAGTGACGTCCTCCCCTCTGCTCCCTACGTCTGTCTATCCCGCTCCAGGTAGGGGATGCCCTCACGTTTCCCAAATTCTTACTCCACATCACCAGCTCCGGCTGAACTAGTTTAGAGAGTTTATTCCATTTACCCCAAATACTGCCCTTTGGAACCTGCCAATGACCCACGTGTGCTTCAGATAGCCTTGTCCAGGCAGCAGTAGCTTTCTGAAATTTAAATTTTTATCTATTTACAAACATTTTTGTTCAATAAAAAGTAAAAATGTGACTAACAAGTATAATTAACCCTGAAATGGAAAAAAAAAAAAAAAGAATGTAAAGTATATCAGGGGTATCCACAGAGGAGGTAGTACCTTGTGTGGAAAGAGCATGGTTTTGAGGTTTGGATACATTTTGTCTGAGAATTTTGTTATATTGTTGAAATATGACATTTAACATTTGGTGTGGGTAATACTGACTTTAGAAGGTGCGTTGAAGCTTGATTAATGTAATCAGTGTCACTGGACTCTAGCATGTCCTTATATGTGTATATATGTACAGGAATACACCATGGTTAATGTAATCAGTGTCACTAGACTCTAGCATGTCCTTGTGTGTGTATATATGTACAGGAATACACCATGGTTAATGTAATCAGTGTCACTGGACACTAGCATGTCCTTGTGTGTGTATATATGTACAGGAATACACCATGGTTAATGTAATCAGTGTCACTGGAGTCTAGCATGTCCTTGTGTGTGTATATATGTACAGGAATACACCATGGCTAATATAATCAGTGTCACTGGACTCTAGCATGTTCTTGTGTGTGTATATATGTACAGGAATACACCGTGGTTAATGTAATCAGTGTAACTAGACTCTAGTATGTCCTTGTGTGTGTATATATGTACAGGAATACACCGTGGTTAATATAATCAGTGTCACTGGACCCTAGCATGTCCTTGTGTGTGTATATATGTACAGGAATACACCGTGGTTAATATAATCAGTGTCACTAGACTCTAGCATGTCCTTGTGTGTGTATATATGTACAGGCATACACGCGTGGTCCATATAATCAGTGTCACTAGACTCTAGCATGTCCGTGTGTGTATATATGTACAGGAATAGGCGTGGTAAATATAATCAGTGTCACTAGACTCTAGCATGTCCGTGTGTGTGTATATATGTACAGGCATACAAGCGTGGTCCATGTAATCAGTGTAACTGGACTCTAGCATGTCATAGCGTGTATATATATGTACACGCATACACTTGTGATTAATGTATTCAGTGTAGCTGGACTCTAGCGTGTCTCTGTGTGTGTGCGTGTATATATGTACCCACATATACCCATTGATATGGTTTAGCTCTGTGTCCCACTCAAATTTCATCTTGAATTGCAATCCCCACATGCGGAGGGAGGGAGGTGATTGGATTGTGGAGGTGATTTCCACCATGCTGTTCTTGTGATAATGAGTGAGTCTCATGAGGTCTGATGATTTTATAAGCATCTGGCATTTCCTCTGCTTGCATTTCTCTCTCCTGCCACCCCGTGAAGAAGGTGCCTTGCTTCCCTTTCACCTTCTGCCATGATTGTAAGTTTCCCTGAGACCTCCCAGCCATGTGGAACTATGAGTCAAATACACCATTTTCCTTTATAAATTACCCAGTCTCGGGTATTTTTTATAGCAGTGTGGAAACGGACTAATACACCCATGATTAATGTAATCAGCATAAGTGGATTCTGGCATATACTTACGTGTGCATGTATGTACATGCATATACCCATGATTAAGGTAGTTCAACTAGACTTTATCATGTATATGCCCTTGTGTGTATACCTGCACAGGTGTGTTTATGTATATGTGTATATGTGCATTTGTGTATATAAATGTGTGTATAAGTAATTTGAAGATTAAGTGTAAACAGACATGGAGAAGAAACACACATAGCTATCCAGCAACATGCCCCTGGCGTGTGTAGTCAGGCAGTCAGTGGTATCTGCTGTGAGGTACCTGTGGAGCAGGTGGGATAATATGGAATAGAATATGGATGGATGCTCGACTGTGTGTGCCCAAGCTGATTTACTCTGCCTTGATTTTTTCCTTTCCTCCTCCCTCCTTCCCCTTAGAGTCATCTTGTTGACTCTACGGACAACAGAGTTACGTGTCAGTGGCTTTAGCGGGGAGCAAACACACCAGCTCTGTTTGCCTTTTCCGCCCACGGAGAACCTTTTCTGCACGTGTGGTTTCCCCTTCACTATGTGATGTAGTGAACTTCTGGAAAGCAGATGGAGAAAGTGCGTCCACAAAACTTGCACAGCTACGTGTATGGGTGTGCCCTACACATGCGCTTGCATTTGAACCACGGGGTCTCTCGGGTTTACGAGCCACTTGCCAAGAACTTGTAGATCTAATGGAAAGCCTGTGCCCTTTCACCCGTGAGCTAAGCCTTGGGGATCACAGACTTTAACTAACCTAAGTGGTTGAACACCTCTCATTCATTTGGTTAGCGGACGTGCTCACAGGGTACAGGCCACTTCCCTGGAGACATTTTCCGAATGGGAAACAGAAAACAGGTGTGAGTCACACACACACAAACGTTACCTCTGGAAAAATAGCATGGATTCTGTTTCCTCTGCTTCTAAAAGACTATATTTAAAATGGTTGTGGCTAGTAAAGACGACATAAATATCTTTTCCTAAAATCTGTACCGAATTACTTCACTGAGAAGTTTCTGAGGATGTACAGCCAGGACCGGAGGTCACACGTTTTAGCTGCGTTGGGTCACTCACCTGGGGAGCCTGTCAACAGCCCCCTGGCTCACTCCACAGAGCCTGGTTTGCTGGGCAGGTGGATCCGCTTGTTCAGTTTCTGATTAACTCACGGGTTATCAGGATGCCGTTGCAGGGAGACCCAGAGCTGGAAAACATCGCTATAGACCAGCACATCTTCACATTTTGGTCTACATGGATCATCTTGAGGGTATGATTAAACATCTAATCTCTAATAAAAAAATCCATGTCTATAGCTC